AGGTCTTTCGGAGATCCTTTGGGTGGCTGGAGATTCCACCGACTGAACCTGGGACCATCCGCATGCAAAGAAGACACAGCCCCACCAAACTCATGTGAGCCCTCCCCCAAAACCGTACCTTCTTCAAAACACTGTCTGACTCCGTCCTCCGAAGATCTTGGGCATCATCTCCTTCCTCCCTGTCCCCACCTGAAAAAGAGAACTCAGAAGCTGACATGGATGGGCTTTGCTCTTTGTAGCCTGGGAAAGCACAGTCGTTCACACCTGTGGTACAGCAGGAGCACTGCCAAGTACGCCTCTTCCTCCTTTAACTCAATCCCTCTTTACAACTCCTCTACACCAAGGATGAGCAAACGCCAGACTAAAGACAGCGTCATGTTTGGGAATCGTGCTGGACCCTAGGAAAGAGACCGAAAGAACACTCACCTTTGCACACATTCATTTGGTGGCTGTCAAATCCTCCAAACGTCTCTGCCCTCCTGGGGAGAGAGACAGGCCCAACGCCCTCTTCTTCCGAGGTGAGGTGGCACATCTGCTGCCCGAGGGCATTCCCCAAACTCCTGCTCACCAGCCTTTGCAATAACTCCACTGAAAGGATCAAGGGCAACATGGAAAGACGTTCATTGTCAGGCCAGCTTCCATCCCGACTAAGCTACTTCGGTTTATGCGGACACTAGCAGGAATCCCAGTTGCAAGTGCAGCTCTATGGTGGGGTTTTAGCTGCTTAGGGCTCCCCGTCCAGTAAGAAAAGAGCTTGAAGAGGGATCTGCACTTTAGGGATGCCACGTTTTGATTTATGAATAGGGCCTCTGGAGCTTCACAGAGACAGTAAAATAGGAAGACTGGCCACTGCCCTAAGGTGCTTACCCTCTCGATTTCAACTAAGGGGGAAGATTACAGAGGCCATGGAAAATGGGGAGAATAAGGTACACCACCTGCAGCTCCTCTTGTAGTCCATTTTAATCTGATTCCAATGGTGGTAACAGTAATTTTTATTATTGCTATGGTGCCTTTTGTATTTTGTAATGGCCAATGGCTCAATACAATACATTTACTTGTACTACCTGCAACTCCTGAGAGGAAGGCAGGGGGCAGAAGTGTACTGAACAAATGAGCTAACAAGTGAGACCATCCAGTTCGGTATTGACCACAGCCTTGGGCAGAAGCAGAGAAAGGTCCTTCCCACCCCTGCTGCCAGGGAACCTTTGCACTTCTGCGGAACGGCACACGCTTTATTCTGAGTGCCACGCAATCTCAGGCTGCCCACAGTACGGGTGGCCCTTCTTGGCAGGGATGCTGACCAAAGCAGTCCCCGGGGACCCGCTTACCTTCGTTGATGACGTTCTTCATGAGGCTCTCCCCCTTGGGTGCCTCTTCCGTGCTGGCCCGGAACAACGTTCTGGCCCCGGAGGCCTCCTCCTGCCCGCTGCAGTCGGTCATACAGCGGAAGATCTTTTCTTTCTCCTCCAGCAGTGTTATGATCTGCTGATCTTTCTGCACGAGTTGTTCTGTTGGGGTGGGGAGGTTGGAGTAAGAACTATTGCGGTACACCCACGGGTAGCTCGCCCAGAGGAGCTCAGGCCATCCCAGTGACTCTGGCCCCACCTTCTGGGGAGTCCAAGAACTGCAAGGACCAGCAGACGCTTCTGCTCACAAGTTGTTCTGGAGAAGCCGAACTCTCCCATTTTAGGGGACAAGGTGAGTCAAGCAAGCAGGTGCAAGGCATAGAGAAGAGATGCCGTAACTGCAGTTTGCTCACCGGGGGGCTCCACGCTCACCTCGGATAGCAAGGCCAGAAATCCAGTATGCAACAACATAATGCAAAAGCAAAGTCTCCTTACAAGGCCTGGGCTACAACTCCAAAGACCCTGGTCCTGTTACACCGGCTATGAGGCAGCCGTTACTTCCGGAGTTGCTGCAGTCGTGCTGCAGTCTCACTCCAAGGAGTGCGGGAAGGACCAGCTGGTGCAACGGGGCTTGTGTTGCCAACTTCAGTCACATGGGGGGGTGTCACCTGGGCCAGAGTTGGGGGGCTGGACAGCAGGGACCCGGATTCAAAACCTTGCTCAGCTGCAAAGTTTGCGGCATAGCCTGGGCACGTACGGATGACTCCAGGCTAAGGTTGCAGCATCCTTTCGTCTTACCTCTCAGTTCCCTGGCTTTGATATCCTGCACTCGCTTTTCCTCTTCTGACTCACTGGGGATGCCTTCGTCCTCATCCTTGTCCCTGTCGGGAGAGAAGGAAACATTTCAGCGGGACAGGCTGAGAAACGGGCATCACAGAGAGAAGCCTGAAAGGGGCGTTTCTCGGTCGGTTTGTTATTTCTTCTTTTAAAGAAAAAAATCAAAATTGCAAAGTTAAACGATGTCATAAATCCTTAAATATAATTACATATGCAACATATATATCCATAAATTAATCCGCCTAATGAACGCATTATCAAGACAGCAAAAGCATCAGGAGCCAGCAAGATTCACAACATTTGACCTCAATTTTATTATTTTTACTGCATCCTAGATTTTTTCCCCTTGGCTACACGCTTTTATTTGGTACAAGACCGAGACTTCCAGTAATGTGCAAACATTATCCTTGCCAGAGTTAGCAAGTGTGGTGTTACATCTTGATGAGAAAGGTTGACCATGTTGACATAATTTAAGAAAACGGCCTTAAAAAGAAAATCAATCCTCCTTCACCAGCCTCCACAAAACCTGACCCCTGCTGCATAGCCACCACATGCGGCAATGAATCTATTTCTTTAGATCAGTACCAGCAATTACCTGCTGCTTACAGTATACTGTACAAATTCTCCATGCAGTCAGGCACCCTTACATTATCATTTTGAAAGAGTTTTCTCCCATTTGTAAACAGACACGGACCCTTGCGTAGATACATAACTCCCTGCATTGGCAATGTGTTTCCAATGTAAACACAGTGTGCATATTTTGTTTTATTTAAATGCACACACGTAAGATACACAGCTGTATTAAACCCCTCCTACTGTACTGTCCAGAGGGGCTGCAGTGACTCAGAGGTTAAGATGCTGAGCTGCAGACCGGAAGGTCTGTAGTTCGGCAGTTCGAGACCCGAGTGCCACGTGACGGAGTGAGCTCCTGTCTCTGGCCCCAGCTCCTGCCAACCTAGTAGTTCAAAAGCAAGAAACTGCAAGTAGATAAGTACCTTCGGTGGGAAGGTGACAGTGTTCCGTGCACCTCGGCGTTTAGTCATGCCAGCCACGTGACCACGGAAAGGTCTTCAGAAAGCGCTGGCTCTTCGGCTTGGAAACAGAGATGAGCACCGCCCCCTAGATTCAGATTCAACTGGCTTTCGAGGAAGGGAAACCTTTACCTTTACTGTACTGTCCGGCCCTCCCGTTAAGCTCCTCCTGCTCTCTATGCCCCCCCCCCCATGAGCTGGCTGGTGACCAGAGGCAGGTCACCTTTGGAAGTGCCTCCCCCCTTGGGGCTCATCCAGCACTTACCTTACTCTTTTATAAGTGTCAGGCCAAAACTTTTTTTTAGACCCAGGTTTTCAACTGGGAGTTTCCATCTTTGTTTTGGGGTTTTAGCTGTTTCTATGTTCTGCTTCTAGCCTGAGGACTGTTTATGCTGTACTTTTTATGCCCCGGGCTTGTTTTTAACATTGATCATTTACGTTTTTTGTTTTTACGGTACTGCTTTTAACACGTGAGGCCCCTCAAGCATTCTCTCTGGAGAGGCAGCCTAGAAATTCCTTAAATGAATAGCGTCCGGACACACGTCAATTCCAGTGGAACCTGATACAGCCTAGCTTATACACAGTGGCTTGCGATAAGCAAAACACAAGTGGCCCACACATGCGTTCCTTTGAACTCCTTACATCGTGTTGACAGTGTCCTGGATGGTCTGGATCCAGCTGTTGCGTTCCTCCTTGGAGCTGGCGTGAACTTCCACCATCTCTGGGTCTTTCCCTCCCATGCTGATGAGGAACAAACCCTTCTCCTCATGGGCCACTTCTCGGACAATCAGCTTCTTCAGAGAGACCACCGTGGACTTCTGGTCCTTGAGGGAGACGAAAGCAAACATGTTCAGGTTTTTTCTCTGCTGATCCAGCCTAAATGCCTTCTTGACTGAGTACCCCGAGGCCTCAAGAGAAAAGCAGTAAAAGAGTTGATCTACATAGCGATTTCCTTCCCACCCTTTCCCCAAGCAGCGCCCCCAAGAAGAGTAGCACACACGGCTCTCCCTCATCCTCACCACAGCAAATGTAATACGCATTATCTAAAGGATGGAGGGAAATGCAACAAAGGCCTTACCAGAGATGCAAATACGTATTTCTGGTCTTTCTCCTGAAGGAATATCAGAACGTCCGAGAGGAGAACAGCCTGGACCTCTGGCAACAGAAGAAAACACCGAGTTGTAATGCACAGCCAGATTGGTGTCGTGGTTAAGTGCGCGGACTCTAATCTGGGAGAACCGGGTTTGATTCCCCACTCCTCCACTTGCACCTGGCTGGGTGACCTTGGGCAAGCCGTAGTTCTGACAAGAGCTGTTCTTGAAAAAGAGCAGTTTCTGTCAGAGTTCTCTCAGAGTTCCGTGTGATGTCATCAGCCCCACCCACATCACAGGCAGTGTTCCCTCTAAGCTGAGTTAGTGTGAGCTAGCTCAGTTTTTAGCCTCCAGCTCACAGATTTTTGTCTGAGCTCAGGAAGGATGGCTCCAGAGCAACCTAAGTTATGCAGTAGCCAAATTGCTCACTCACAACTTTAATGCCAGTCACAATGTAGAATTTTTGCTCACAAGACTCCAGAATTTAGAGGGAACATTGATCACAGGGTGTCTGTTGTGGGGAGGGGGAGGGAAAGGAGTTTGTAAGCCGCTCTGAGACTCCTTTGGGTAGTGAAGGGCGGGGTATAAATCCAATCTCTTCTTCTTCTTCTTCACATCTGAATACACCCCGCAGCATCTCTCAGTGGTTTCCTTTTTTAAGTCAACAGGCATCACTTCCCTGACAAAATCACTCCCACGTTTAAAATCCACAGACTTCCTTTATGGTTGCCAGGCTGCCTGCTAAGGGACCCCCTTTCGCCGCTGCGAGCCTCTGGGCTGCTGCCACCACTCAGTGGGGCAGCAGAAGCAAAATGGGGGCGGGTGGGAATCGGCCCCCCACTGCTCCGAGGGCTGGCCACCCGAACGCATTTCTAAAGCCAATCTGCTCAATTCACGGCAAGCCCGGTGTCTTTAAGGCAACAGAAAGAACGCTTGTGTTGAAGGTCTGCTGGCAGACAGAGCGAGAGAACATATTTTCAGTTTATTGTCGAAATGTCTGTGGCCTGTTTAGGGCTGCCAGCTCTTACCTCCTCGCTGGCGGGGGAATGGGTGGGAGCGCTCTGGGAGTGGGGGTGGGGCGGGGCGATGTCCCCGAAGTGATGACATCACATGGAAGTTGCACGGCAACGCTCTGGTATTTGGGGCAAAACTCTATGGTTACCATAGAGTTTGGCCTGAAATACCAGAGCGTTGCTGTGCAACATCCCCGGCATGAGGATGTCACTTCCGTGTGATGTCATCATGTGGGGGACATCACGCTGGGTCGTGGCTGTTGGGGTGGGCAGGAAGCCGCAAAATTGGGGGATCCCCCACTCCCGCTTGGGGGTTGGCAACCCTGGACCTGTCTCCCCCGGGCCTAAGAACGCTGCCCTCTGGAGGGAGGGAGGGAAGTGATTTCTGCCCAGGCTTGGGTGAGCGATTGTCTGGTAACAAGACCAGGGCCACTGATGAAGGGGGGGGGAATTCGGGGGGGTCAAGTCAGCTGGAGGGCCCCTAAATTTCCTGCTGCACTCATGGTATGCATTTTTAAAACAAATTCCAGTGCAGCCACTCAGGGTGCAGGGAAGGCAGAGCACAATAAAAAGCACTCGCTGTTGCTTCCTGGGTCTTTCAGAAGTTTTTACCAGGAGGCCGATCAGATCCTGCTAAGCCCAGCAGCCAAGCCAGCCCTGGAGCAAGGCAAGACCAGCCGGGACAAGCTACAGTCCTTTTTCCTTTCGTTCCACCCAGCTCCGGCACAGCCGCATCTTGCAAAGGGGCAGCCCTGTTACTGTGGTAGCAAAATTAAAACCCTTTCGTTGTCTTTTCCTACATTTCTCTGACTCTTATCCACACTTGTCTCTGCCTTTGTTTTGCTTCCTTCCTTTCATCATCTGCCATTCATCTACCCTTCTAATCTCTCTCCTCCATTTTATCCTCACAACAACCCTGTGAGGTATGTTAGACTGAGAGTAACAGTACTGGAAGACGGATGTTTTATGGAGGAGGACTGATGCATCAATGGCTGTTAGCCAAGATTGCTGAGGGTGGTCAAGAATGGTGGTCCTCCCCCCAGTGGTGTCCGCAGGTGGGAGTGACATAGCACCTGCATGAGGAGAGACACCTTTTGAAGCCCAGCAAGCCTTTCACAAGAAGAAGGCATACTTCAGATGCATACCTGCGGGAAACATCAGTTCACAGGTGGTTTGAGAAAATACCAGGAAGCTGCAGAGAGCCATGGAAAGACAAGGGACGTGTAATGATGCTGTGCAAATGTGTGGAAATAATCCACTGCAGTTGGGAACACAAACTGCAGCAGAGAGCTCATGTGAAGAAACTCAATATACATGTAAGCTACAGGTTCAGGGAACAGACAGTGGGGAAAGATGCAAGGTTTGTGACCTGCCTGTGGATTTCCTAAAGGCATCTGGCAGTCGGTCAACTGCATACTCGACTAGGCACTCAACAGGATGCTTGATAAGCTGGACCCTTTCGGCTGGTCCGGCAAGGCTGTTAGGGCATGCCTTTGCTTGTCAGGTTCAAGTGCCACTCATGAGAGGAGGGCCCGCTCCAGGAATCGGAGCAACCCGGAATTCTCATCATCTTCTCTGGATGAGTCCAAAATGGTCCAGTGGGGCTTTTGAATGTTCTGCTCTGGTTGGCGCTCATTGTTAAATTGCAAGCTCGTTGCATGCCAGAGAAATAGAGAGAAAAGGCAGCCAAAGTGGCCATTCTAACAGCATAAATGTTACTCATTCATAATCAATATTTTTGTCCTCGAGCTAAAAACCTGTTCAGCAACACGGCTGCTCTCGGGACTACAATCTGCAACTCTTGGGCAGTTCCAGCGCTCCTTCCCTCCGCCCTCTCCACCATCGCTCCATTTTGACAGCTGGCTACAGAAACAGGAGACTCTTGAGCGTTCATGGCAAGGAGGACAGATAAGTCAACTCTAAGGAATGTTTCCAAAATAACGCCTTACTGTGACTGGTTTAGAGATACCCACATGTCTGCACCCGCACGGAAAACGTTAATGGCTGGTTTGTAATACGGTACGTAACAGGAAGAGGACGGAATTCTGCCAGCAAGGCTCTCTCACCTTTCAGTCTCCCAGCTGCATTCTTCAGGGAGACCGGCCCATCCCGGACGAATTTCCTCCGCCTCAAATCCTCCCGGGCGAACATCTGCCCGCTCTTCATCCTCATGATGGACTTGCTGTCCGTCCGGGTGTAGATTTCATCCAGGCGCATCTTCTTCTCATACTTGCAAACTTTGCTGTTCACGGCAACGATGACTTCCTTCACCAGGTTCAGCGACTGCACCAGATCTTCCTGTTCCTTGTCGTTTTCTTTAGAACAAAAGGAGAACTGCCTTCCAGTTCCTCTTTTTTTCTGCAAACCCTTTTTGCAAACCCTGCTCCTCACTTGTCATCTGCTTCCCTCTCTGTGGCCCTCCCAGGCATCT